ATTGACTGATGGATGTTTGTATTCCAAGCAGATTCTTCCTCTAAATACAACTTAGAAAAGAAAAGCACAAGAGAAAGAAGCCTACAGTATTTTGGTAGTTGTGTATACAGAACATTTGGTGAGGTTGTTTTTTCTCCCGTTTATTGACTGATAAACTTCGTTCTCAGAAAAGAGAAACCAAAATCCTTTGAAATAAGTTCACTTGTTTCACCTATCTTAATATTTATCAGCATCTTGATATAAACTGTATGTCATAATTTATAACTTTTAGCATGAAATACACTGAGTGCTTTAATTTCCAGATGGTTTTAAAGATACAGGGAATTGTGCTTAGAGGGAATGTAGGAAACCATTTGTGTGAATCAACACAGAACTGCATTGTTCTTGCCCTTAAGATTTTGGACTCTCGCCCCAAATTTTCTGTTGGATCCATTACAGATTTCTCTGACTTGATTTTTCTGAAGAGCAGGAGAGTGGAAATTAAATGTAGCAGGATGGCATATGGGAGAGGGACCACCCAGGTGAACAGGTGATGTGCAGATAAAGTGTCTGAGGAGGTGACTTCCTATACCCAGAGCTGTGTATCTTTATATAGGTATGAGGAAATTACTAGGGAGTAAAGGGGGGAAAAAAAACCCAGAAGGAAAGCACGTGTAATGGGAAGACTCTGAATATAAACTCTAAGGTTTTTTGGTTTTTTTATTTGGTTGGGGTTTTTTTGTTGATATTGTTATTCTTTCTTTGTCTCACCCTGCATTAAGGCGCGTTGGCCATTTATATTGATCCTATTTCCAATTTGTACTGCTGTAAATTCATTATGGATCTCATACTGAGAGCATTAGGGCCTCTCTCATATCAGCTGAAATAAGAAATCTCATGTAAAATGTAACTGTTTGTGGTAGAGCAACACATTTCAGGAGGATGTCTGGTGTTCATTACAAACTTCAAGGGGTGTGACCAGACAGTGATTCTCACCTAGGATCTGTGGGATCTCTCCTTGCCAGCCTGCACATCTGGGCTTTTCATGGGACTGGGAAAGTAAGTTATACAACTCAAGAAGGACTGATAAAATTAAGCAGTGCAGATGGGTTGTTTGAGCCTCTGATAGATGTCAGAGTGTGCTAAAATCAGGAGATGTGGATATGCCTCAGGACTTCACAGTCTCCATGTACTCAGGGCTAGTCTTGTTCTTGCACTGTGTTTAATGTCAGAAGATGAAAGACTTTGGTTTGTTTGCCTTCCCTTTTGAAGACACCTTATAGTTTTGCCTTAGATTATTTTTTTTTTTACCTTTTATGAGGTGTTTTCTTTTCAGTCAGTTTTGAGCTCCTTTAATTTTTGAGTTAATAAGTTAATAATATTAACCTTAACCTTAACCTGTTTCCTGATCATTCAAAGTTACTCCTTAAAATGTGCCTTGAGTTTGGCAGTTTCTTGTTCTCTCTAATCTTAATGGAAAAGGAAAGCAGCCAGATTATGTTCCTTTCCTGCTACAACTTTTCCAGCTGCTGGACAAACATTGCAGTATTAATATCATCTGCCAAACAACAAAACTTTTTTGATAGAGTATGAGAGGAACTATGTAATTTTGGGTAAGTTAACTACACTGACCAAGGATAAAAGGATCCTTTTTATATAGAGAGTGCTCAAAACACCTGAAATGCAGAATAATGCTTCTGTACAGTGATTTTTAGCATTTTTTATGGATTTTACTGTGCAGTATATGATAACTTAAAGCTGTTATGGCTGAGGTGATGTTGATAACTCAGGCAGGCAGTTGAAATCTTTCAGGTGTCCAAAAGTTACCTGAATGTACTGACTCCCCTCTCACTGCAAAGCAATTGGGTCTAGAATCTTGTATGCTGTACAGGAAGATATTATATGGCATGTAGACTACTCTGACTGCCCATGTAGAGTTGAAAACTTCAGTTGCAGTAACATGTAGAATTGTAGAAAAATGTAGATGGGAAAGGACCTCTGGAGATTGAGAGACTCATTTTTGTGCTTTAACTTCAAAGTTAAATCAGGTTGCTTAGGGCCTTGCCGAGTCAAATTTTTAAATTCTCCAGGGTTGCTTGGAGATGCTGTTAAATCTCCATCCTGTTCATTGCTCAGCCACTCTCATGGTGAGGAGTTTCCTTATATCTGTTTGGAATTTCCCTTGCAGCATTGTGTGTCTGATGCCTGTTGAGCTTTCACTGTGCTTTCCTGAGAAGAATCTGCCTCCACCCATCATATAACTCCCTGGCATATAGGTGAAGGCAGTAGTGAGCTCCTTTTCTTCTTCAGACTGAACAAACTCAACTCCCTCATCACGTCTTTCATCTCACATGTCAGCCTTTTGCTATTTTAGTGGCCTTCTTTTGGATGTGCTCCAGTTTGCCAGTAGCTCCTGTGTTGTATGGCCCAGAGCTGCAGTGCTCAAAATGTGGCCTCACCAGTGCCAAGCAGAAGGGAATAATTGCTTCCCTTGATCTGCTGTTTATGCTCTTGCTTATGCAGCTCAAACTGCAGTTAGTTTTCATTGGTGTAAATGTGCACTGCTGGCTTATGTTTCTCTGGCTCTCTCTTAGGGTCTCCAAGTCCTTTCTGCAGAGCTGCTGCTGGTCTTTTCCTTCCCAAATGCAGGATACTTTGCTTTGGTCTTTAACTTTACAAAGTTACTGTTGGGTGCTTCCTCCACTTAGCTGAGGTCCCTCTGAGTGGTGACCCTTCCCTCCAACATGTTGACTGCTTTCCCCATAGTATATCTGTAAATTTGCTGACAATGCTTTCTGTCTTAGGATACAAATCCCATGAAGATGTCGGGCAGAACTGACCGTTGAGAATACTGTATCTAACCAGTTGGTATTTAGGATTAGTGAACACAATTTTGTTGAAATTCATGATCCAAGGAGTTTTTTTTGTCTACCTGTTCAGTCCACATCTCCTTAGTTTGACAACCAGGGTGCTGTGGAAGGTTGTGTTAAAAACCTTGTGTAAGTCAAAGCACTGGGAACTACTGATTCTCCCTAGTCCACAAAGCCACTTGTTTCTGCTTAGGGCAGTCAGGTTGGTTGTACATAATTTGCCTTTAGAAGTCTGTTGTCTGATCTCAGTCACATTTATGTCCATTGTACCTGGAAATAGCTTCTTTTTCGGACTCAACATTTTGTACAGCAAAGGAGGTGAGACTGACTACTGTCTTGTTCCCTGAATCCTTTATCCTCTCTGCCTTGCTTTTTGGTTGGATTTTGTTTGTTTTTAAGTCAAGAGTCACCATCCCTGGAAGTGTTTAAGAGGTGTCTGGATCTGTCACTGGAGGATATGGCTTAGGTTTTAGGGGTTACAGCAGTGTACCAGGTTAATGGTTGGACTGGATGATCTTAGAGGTCTCCTCCATCCTTGATGATTTTGTGATTCTATGATTCTAAGTTACTTGTTTCCTGTCATAGGCAATTGCCATGACTTTGCCAAGATGGTAGCCAGCAGCCTTCCAGAGATATCAACTAGCTTCCTCAACAGTTTGTATGTTTCCCATCTGGTCCTATGTATTTGTATAGGTTCAGCTTACCTCAATAGTCTTTTGACTTGATAACTTCTCTCCCTCAAGCTTTGCTACTAGATGCAGAGACCTGATAGCAGACCTTGCTGATAAAGGCCATGCTCAGGGTGTTGGATACCTCAGGTTTTTTTCCTGTACCTTTCATCACTAGGTTGCTTCCTGATTTAGCAGCTGAATGACACTTTCCCCCATCTGTCTTCTGCTCATGGCAGAAATATTTCTTCTTGCCTTTTGCATCCCACTTCAATATCAACTCCAGCCAAGCTTTGGCCTCTCCACTTCTGCCTCTGCTTGCCCAGACAGTGCACTAGTATTCTCCTCCAGTGGCCTGTCCCCACTTCCACTTCACATATGCTTGGTTCATTTGAGCTCCTTCAGTGAGGAGTCCTGTGTACAGTCAGCTCATCTCCTGTGGTGCCTGCTGATTTTCTTGCATGTTGGGAAGGCTTGTTTTTGTGCTCAGAGGAGAGAGTTCAGGAAGATGACTGGATGTCATGGGCTTCTTTGGAGCTTCCCAGGGCATTCTGATTACCATTTGCTGAGCAAGCCCTGAGTCTATCTACTGTTATCTACTAGCAATGTCCAGACTCTCTAGTCTGCTGCTTTCCTTCCTTTCTTTCCTCAAGACTTACACTACAATTTCACAATTACTGCATCCCAGGCAGCTGTTGGCTGTCGTATGCATGAGCAGTTCTTCTTTATTCATGAGTCCCAGATCCTGCACAGCCCCTCCCCAGAAGCCTGTTCAGTGCCAGCATCAGAAATCTCACAGTGCATGCAAGAAATTCCCTGGATGTTTCACACCCTGCTACGCTGCCGTTCCAGGAGGTGTTGTGTGATTTAAATCCTCTGTGAGAATGAGGGGCTCTGAATACTGCAAAAACAGCCCAGGATGATGTTCTGTTTACTGTAGGAAGTGAAAATAAGTTTTCCTTAAGTAGTTGTCTTGAACCACAAGAAGCTGTTGCAAAGATACGCACGTGGTGTTTTGATTTTGTTTTGAAACGGAATACTTGATTTTCGATTCATTTTGAATTGCTGCTGTAGTGCAGTAAAAAAACTAATTCAGCTGAGGTCTGCAGTGCAGCTGATGAGGTAAAATGACCTGGTTTTAGACAGCAGGAGTACTTTAGAATCCATAATATTTGTTCACAACTAATGAATTTGCATGTGATCTGAATAATTACTTTTTTTTCTCTTGAGATTTCTAGTCTCTTAATACCCTGAGGTGATTAATGTGCAGCTACATGAAATTGCTTCAGATTGTATTGTATGGCTCTTACATACAGGCCATGCAAATAATACTTGCAGGTATATATGTGCAAGAAAAATTCCTCATCTTTTTTTTTTTTTTTTTTATAAGTGACTAATCAGAGAAGATCTTGTCCATTCATATTTCTCATACTTTGTTTTGTAGTAATTGGTGACTGTACTTCTGAATCTGTTTTAGTTGGAAGATGGGGAAGAAGAGCCGAGTGAAAACGCAGAAGTCAGGAACAGGAGCCACAGCAACAGTATCTCCAAAGGAAATGTTGAATCTAATCAGTGAGTTATTGCAAAGTAAGTTTGGGCTTTGTGCCTCTCTGGGAAAGGGGATGGTGTGCAAACCACTCAAAAAAACTCTCTTGCTGAACTCAGTGAGTTCTATTCATTTATCAATGGCCAAGTTTGCTGTTTCAGTCCACTCAATATAGTTCAGTGTTTATCTCAGAGCATCTATCTCTATTAGTATACCATTATTGGCTTGTTTAAATGTGTATGTTGGACTTAACATATCTGTGGCAGTTTCTGGCTTTACATCTCAACACAAGCATAAATACTGGATGAGATTAGTTTTCTTTAAAACTCCATAACTTGACATTGAAGCTTTGTCAAAAATGTTTTTCTTTATAAACATCAAGAATTGCACTGTTTCCATTTATCATTTGAACACTACTTGGCAGTGATATCAGAGTAGAGAAATTAACTGAGGGAAGCAGCAATCCAACTCAGTTCAGCTGCAGTGATATTTTTGTTGCTTAAATAAACTTTTTGTTGCTGTTGCTGTTTGGAAACTTCTTGTAGTGCTTAGTCCTTGTGTATAGACCAAAGATTGATTCACTTGTTGAAGAACTTGGAACTCGTCCATTATTTCTAGTAAATATAAAAAGCAGAGCATAATTTCAT